AAGGTGACATCCTGAAAGTCCTGTGCCTCTACAGGGGTTAAGACATTCGCGGAACATGTGCATCAGGGAATAAATTTGAATAATTCTCGAAAGCAGTAATCACACGTTGTTGTGCATATCTATCCGATGACAGCTTTTTCTTCCATATCAAGCCGCTTTATGATACATCAGTCGGATCGCCCGGCTTACGCCGAGCTCTCCTCCTTTTCTTTCGCCCGGCTTCGCAGGGCTGGCCTGATTTCTCTGGAGCACTTTTACGGTAATGCACATTTACGGAACATATTGTCTTTATTCTTTCAAACTGCATGCGGCAAGCCGCCGATGGCCTAGTGGATAAGTGCATTGCTTCAGAGACACGAGGTCGAATGTTGGAATCCTTGGCTATCGAAATCTTTTGCTTTTCATTCAAAACACTTGGTATGAGCCCTCCGAAATTTCTATTTGGCCATTTCGCCTAATTTCTTGATTAGTTGCCAACGAAAGGCGGGCGATTCCCCATGTAGGGTTCCTCTTGAAAACTTTTTTATTATGAGGATAACCACATGTCACAAGGGTTTTTGCAATGAAATACCATCATATTCATGTTCAGCGGGTCAAACTACCCCTGGGGACAAATTTCTAGCCGAATCTGATATTTCCACCTAACTTGGAAAATGTGTGCTGTTTCATGGGTAATCGAAAGCATAGGGGAGCTCACCTACCGTTGGTGAATGGTCTCGAGATGGAACTACCTCGTGGTAAAGAGGACGATGATGCAAACGGCAAGAATAAGTAAGCCGGGTAATGTCTTTGCGAAAAGGCACATGAAGAGGTATTTCAGTTGGAAAACCAGTCATCATCAGTATGGTAGTCGTAGTATCGCTTTGGCTATCAGTCAGCCACAGCTATTCATAACCCATTTTCTCGAAAATGAGTTAGAACCTCGGATTCCGCTGGGGTGACGTCTCTAGGGGTTATTTGACCCCCTGAACACGAATATGATACCTGTTTTGCGCGAAGAGCGCTGTGAGTTGCGCTACAGGTGCTAACGCTTTGGCGCTGGCGCGCCCGGAAGAAGAAAAGCAATAAAAAAAACCTCACAACTCCGCTCAGAGAATCGTTCCGCAAATTTTAAAGATAGTCTTGTGTTCATCGTGGCAAGGTGAGTACAATGATGTACATTTCGTTGCAAATGGCCGGGCTGACGTGTTGGCCTTCCCTGGTTAGTGAAGGCTCCTTATATACTAGCGCTTCCGTTGAGCAGCTTTCACACACTCGTCTGAGGGTGGATCTTATCATTCTTTTTCGACAAACATCTTCAGGCTTTTACATTCGCGTGAAACCCTAGAGTTTTATGATCGAATCATTTTCGACTATTTCACAAATTAATCGCAACATCTTGCCTCTGTTGGCCCCCTAAGCCTCTAACCCTTTTGATGACCCTCCGCGTCCATCCTGCCTCCCTATATTACTGCTTGCCTCCAGTGCAATACCTTTGGAGGCACGTTATGAAGTTGTGAAGAGCAATTTCTAGGGCCTATATGATGTCTTATCAGCTGTTATCACTTGTCCCACCCACCTGTAATGTTGCCCATCCTGCCTAATCATACCTCTTGAAACAAACAATCCATCTTTGCTGTGGCTGAAGATATGAGTTTTGTGACCCACCACTTCTAGTGCATTTTATGGGATCTTATCTGTTGTTACCTCTTCCTGCCCCCACTACTAGTGTTCCTGTCCCACCTCCTATATCACCCATAACTGAACTCCTTGCGATGAAACAAAGGGAGTTATGAATTCCCGGCCAAACACACATACACACCAAAAGACAAACTTAGCGCATTATATATAGTAGAATGCTAAGTTTATCTGTTGGTGCGTGTATGTGTGTACTTATGTGTGTTTGACCGGAAATTCATAACTTTCTTTGATGTCATCCCGAAGAGTTCAAAGTCAGGCGTGATGTAGGAAGTGGGACAGGAACACTGTTGGTGGGTGGCAGGAAGCGAACAACTGAAATGATACCATAAAAGGCGTTAGAAGTGATGGACCACCAAATTCATATCCTGGACCATGGCCACGATCGGACGCTGGTTCGGATAGGTGACATAGGGTCGGTTGGGAACAACATTGCTGGGTGGTACGAAAAGAGAAGAGCTGATAAGATACCCTGAAAGGCGTAGAAGGAGAGACTACCCGACTTCATATCTTGAGACACAGAAACGATGAGATGTTTGTTCCAATGGGTAATATAGTTGGTAGGTTGGCATAAATATTTCAGGTGCGAGGAGGTGATAGCAGCAGGTAAGATATAAAGGCGTTAGAAGCGGTAGGCCACCAACTTCATAACCTGGACCACAGCAACGATGGGATATTTTTTCAAATAACTGATGTAGGGGGTAGGTTCGGATAAACATTGGTGGGTGGCAGCAAATGATATTAGCTGATAAGATACTATAAAAGCGTTAGAAATAAACGTCTAAAGATGTTCGTTAAAGAGGAATGATAAGAGCCACCGACGGTGAGAAAAAAATTCTCCACATTACAAAAGGATAAGAAGACATTCCACAGCATGTCATTTCAATACCGTTGCTATCAGATTACTTTCAACCGCTAGGCTGTCCGTAATTCCAACGATTGGAAGATGTTTTCAGAAAAGTGATACGCACTGGGCGCTGGCAATCGATCATCAATGAATTGATATGGACATAGGTTTCAGGAAGATAAAGTTGAACTGAAGTTCGATGAAAATACAGCAGATGTACTGTTATTTTTTTATTTTCACAGCTCAATCAACACGTGCGCGCAGAAGTGCGCTTCAGCCAAACTTTTGTTATATAATCGGTACGTCCGTGTGTGTGCGTCTGTCTGTCCGAAACTAAGTTCATAGGCCGGTTGCAATAGCAGTAGGGAGTTATGTAGGGATTGTGAAGGGAACACTTGGTGGAAGGAACAATAAGTGATATCAACTGATAAGATTCGATAAGGAGCGTTGGAGGAAGATGGCCTCCACGTTCATAGCGGTTGGTGACAGCACCAAGTAAGTGCTGATTCGAAGATATGATATAGCGCACTGGACACTAAAGTGCCAGGAAACTGTGTGCCTGATAAGGTTTCATAAGAAGAGTAAGAATGAGAAGGCTGCTATATGCACAGCGCAGCCCACCGCAACAGCGAGGGTTACGTTTCAGCAAAAGATTTTGAGTGACATGAGGACATAAACCGTAGGGGTTGACTGCATTCGATAACCACTGATAGGGGCTAATTATGGGGCTTCAGATGTAGTCTCTGTCAAATGCGATTCACGCTATCAAATCATAGATTCAGTGGTGAGAAGTTTGACGAGTGACAGGTAATCTTATCAGTCCATGAAATTCCATAAGCCCATTGAAGCATCTGATTTTGGGTGGGTGCAGTGGTGCCAAGCAGGAGGGCAGGGGGGCACATAGTGCGGCTGAGACGGGAAAATTCACCAATCAGAAAATTTTTCGCAAATCTGATTGCTATATGATGAGTTATTAAATGGCGGTCGCAACTGAAGCATAAGGAAAGAACCCAACAACTATGGCTGTGTACTAGCAATGTGAAGTTCCACTTTTCCGTGCCTCTTATGACTCTGCAGTTATGCCTCCTCCGGCTGTTAACGACTTATCCGGACTGCTTCAACTTCCTAACCATTCTACTGATGCAGCTGTGTTCCTCAGTGTGCAGTCTTACCATGGTTGAAAGTCTGTAGTGAGCAAGGGGGACCATATACTTCAGATAGTGACTGATGTTGAGCTTATTTTCAATTCATATTCCTAACATTAGGTGAAGCGCAAGAGTTGTGCAAAAATGTTTTCTAGTGCAGGGAGCATAGCCGAAGAAGTGCAAAAGAGCGAACGCATCACGGATTAAGACAATTGAAATGCAAGTGCGATTACTACGACCTCCTCTCACATTACGGCATTGGCCGCGCTGCCATCATAGCCCAAGCCGGTAATCCATATTAACGGCAAAGCCCGGGATCAGATATTCTGGGTAGTAGTGCTGAACTAGCGATGCCAAGATGCCAATGATGTCATAGTGCAAAAAAAGCAGAAGAAAATAATCGCAAATGACCGCAATAGAACACCCCTGCGAGCAAACTGTAGGAGCAATGGAAGAGCAAATGCAGTGATCGGAGAGATCAGCGGGCAAGAGCGCTGTGGTCAATGCGGTCGCGCCATTGTTTACAGCTGATTTTCTGTTGCCAATGAATGTCTCTGCCGATGTTCTTTGACAAGTCTTCTATTATTATGGATAACAGAGTGGCGGGCTTGATCAGTGGAATTGGGTTGGGCCAGTGAGACAATTACCTCTTTTCCTCTCTGCCATCCTCGCTCAAAGTTGCGCCGCCAAAATTGTGCAGTCGCTGATCCTGCGGTCCTATATTCCTGCTCACAAAAAAGAGAAGATGTCAGCTGATCGCGGTCACTGCCTTCAGACTGACCACAGTCCCCCCCAAAAAAAGCTTAGAAGTTTGCAGTCCTCGTGCGAGTATCTCTTAATCGGTATAAATCTCACTTTGAGGGGCCATCATAAAGGCCGGCATACGATGGATACCGGCAAGTATGACAACCACTGAGCCTGCATTCCAGGACGTAGGGTTCTACAAGGAAGCTTCTAGAACACTACCTCGTATCTGTGAATTCTTGTGATCTAATTTTTGCATTGTCAATCTCTGCGAGTTTCTGATGAGCTTTTTCGCCGGCTGCCTCCTAGCCAACCACTTAGAGGAACGAATATCAATGAAATGGATAATCGATCCAGTCGGCATCGGCTTCACTCGGACTTCCGTGTTAACGTATAATACTAAAGTTGTTGAAATTTGATGTAAAAAAGTTTCATCTGTTAGATATGCACAGCAACATGAGATTCCTGCTTTGGAGAACTTTATTCAGAATTCTTCGTTAATTTTCAATTTTTTGATTTCAGTTTATTCAAATTGATGCATATGTTCCGCGAATGTCTTAACCCCTGTAGAGGCACAAAACTTTCAGGATGTCACCTTCGAACAAGCCATTGCATCCATATATCGTTTCTGGAGCGAGAGCGTTCACCTAAATAACAGGATGAATTACAATTTCAAAGCTAAGAAATTGCTTTTTGGACTACTGTATCTGTTAACGCCATATCTCTCGCAACTATCATTACACTCACTTTCACCAACACATTAATAGGGCAGATTTTCTTCGAGACGTTGACAAGGGCTGGTTCAGAAGGGCTATCTTCCACATCAAACTTCATACAGGATGCGATTTTGGGGGATGATGCGTAGTGTCACTCACTTGGTTCGTAACTAGGGGATGTGTTAACTCACTTTATCTTTTCCACCTCCAGCTCTGAGCGCCAGTCGCACTTTCTTGCTGAGCGGCCAGTTGCGTTCTTCACCAGAGAACTTCCTTCGAGGAAACAGAATAAGTTACATCTCATTTGAAACTCAACGAAAAGACCCATAAGTGAGCCTACCTTTGGCCGTCCAACCTTACGTAGATATTATTGGGCTCTATACCCACTAGGTCATAGCAAGCTTCATACGAGAGTTCGTTGTTCCATTCCTGCAAGCGAAAAACTGCCACTAATCGGTGGAATTTTCATTGGAGATCGATCTCGAAGAAAATTGATCAGTGGAAAGATATCACGAACCAGATTGGGGTTGTACATTCTATTGAAACTCCTAAACCAGTCACTCTGTGCTCTGTAAGTGATACATTTTGCAAGAGCATCAGGATCTGAAATGGACTAGTCTATGCCATGTGAAATTCAGGCAACCGCTATGATGCCATAACTTTGGCTAAAGTTCCTCAAATGCTAACACGGAAATGAAGGGACTCACATTCAACGTTGGCGTTTGCCAGGACGAAGCACAACCCTAAGAGAACGAACAACATCGTAATTGTGATGAACTTCTGCCGGATTTCCTCTCCTTTTATGCTAATCCTTCACAAACAGCACCATCTACTGTGCGCTAGCTTTTTGTCAATGATATTACACGTGTTTCGCACCTTATGAAAGAGCACCGCTTCTAAAATCAATTTGAACGGAACACGTTGTGCCAACATCCAGGAACTTCAATCCTGGATGTTCGATGGAATGCTGTTTGGAATACATGAAGGGTTTCCATCACATGATGTGGCAATGTAGACCCAGTTGCTGTGACTCATGACGAACATCGCCAGAAAACTTGGATCGCTGAAGTCAGGTGGTAAATGCAAATTGAAAAAGATATCAATGAAGGTCTCAGAGACTAGTCCGAAAGATTGCAAAGAAGTGAACTTCTCCTGGAGTTCGAAAAGAGAGATTTTGCAGACACATTTTTTTTCTCTCAGTTATACTGGAGCATTCACTTGAACTCTGTGTTTGAATAGGGCAGCTACGTCTAGGAGATGGCCGATCATGTAGGTTCACCCCTCAAAAATCGAGTATGTGCATATAGTCTTATGCGAAGGAAAGGAAAGAACCCGGCTAAAATGCAGTCCTTTGCCCAATGACTTGGAGGAGCTTCGAAGTTCCACCACAATAATGGTACCAATTATTAACTGTTATTGTTGATGCCATAGAACACAGACTTTTTTTTCACCCAGCCGCCAAGCGGCGGGCTATTGTACGCTGTGATCCGCTCATATTTAGGATATTACTGCTTGTATCATCGGTTT